TCTTCGAAGAGCTCAATGTCTCTGTTTGGGGCATCATTAATTATCTGTGCTGGCCTGAGTGAGAGATACCTCTTTGTATAAATTATCTGCCTGACATATCCCACAGAAATCCTCATTTCTAGGCTTCTCTGCCTTGCTCAGATTGCAAAAGTCATGTCAGAAATACCACGTGACCTAAACTGAGACCTTCTGAGTAAGAAAACCATGACAGAGGCTGGGGTTGGATGGGCTCCCTCTTACACATCTCCACATTTATAAATGCAGAATGGTCCTGATGGGGGACTCCATGGCCACCCTCATACCATTAGCAATGATCCTCCCACACCCAACTTAGGGTACCAATTCCTCAAAAACCTACAGCAGGCAAGATTCTCCATGATTGGGAAGCTAGAATACACACACATTTTCAACTCCAGTGATGTGACTCCACGGACCCATCAATGCAGTCATAATATGCCATGTACCGTGGTCTAAGGGCAACAACTCTTTCCTCCATCTTTCTAAGACGTGAGACTCCCCAGATGTGATGGACTTCACCTCTCTATGCCCACGCTTCTTCATCTGTCATATGGGGAACTTATACTTGCTAAGAGAACTACAGTTATCAATGAGCTTACGTACACAACACTCTGGAAATAATGCTCGGGCAACCACGAGCCAGAGGTGGTAGTAACATCAGTAGAGACTCTCCTATACTGATGGCAAATGGCACCTCCTTCTCAAATCAGCCACAGCTGCTCAGAGGGACAGCAGTATTTCCATGTTCACAGGCGCAATAAACCCTTACTCGACTGTGCAGCGCGGGCTTCCCCGTCGCATTTTGAAGACTGGATTCCCCTCTACCACACCATACGTATCCCTCAAAGACTTCCCACAATACATGCAACACAGTAGGCCCTCATGGAACATCTGTGCACTGAGAGTTAATCTGGGAGGTGAGCAGGCACCTGAGGCACATACAGCCTTCTGAGATTCCATTTGAGGACACATGTGAGAGCCCAGGTACAGATTCTCATCATCTGAGAAAGCATGTGAGAAAACAATCCCTCGAATATGGCTGTGAACAAACTGAAGGTGATTCATTTTGCGATACCTGGGCAGGGAGCATGGGGAGGTTAGATTCACATTAGTCTGCTTTAACCGTTCATCACACGACGGGCAGCAGATTGTAACTTGCTTTCCTAACTTTCTAGACAGTTCTCATCAAATTCTTGCCCTACAGGGACTTACAGCTGAGGAGAGACATGGTTACCCTCCAAAGCAGTGATCAACTTGGGAGGGACAACTAGGCAGCAGGTGTGGTATCTGGGTAGAAACTGGGAAAAGTTCTTCCACTAACTCCAGATTAAGAAACCAGCAAAGAAGGAGAGAGAAAGAGAGAAAGAGAGAGACAGACAGACAGAGACAGAGACTCCGGGACACCGTGACTCATTTTTCAGTGGGTACAGTGCCAAAGGTTGTCTGTCATCGCACATCCAGCCTCACTGCCAGGGCCACGGATGGCGATGGGGCTGTTTCTGTCAGGCTGACTAAAGTATCTACTATCACAAAATCCAGACACACAAACACAAAACAAAAACAAGGCTGTTCACGTAATGATCACAAAGAGAATGAAGTGGCACGAAGTCGTCAGGGTGAGCCTGACACCAGAGCAAATGGGAGATGGAACCATTAGTGCAGAGTCCCCACATTTCCTGCTGGCACATGATTTGGAGGACGTCCTCACTCCGGGGGCAATTTTATTTGTCAAAGCGCAGGGTGGTAAATTACAGACCATCACACGCCATTCTGGGCTCTGAGTTTCTCTGGAGCTATTTGTATTACCACCCATAGACCACTAAAACCTGCCCATACTCAGAATGATTGATTCTGCTCAAAAGCGAGGCACGGAACTCCAGAAAGTCCACTTCAGCTAAGTCATTAGCTTCTTTAAGGATCTGGGGTGGGGGAGGGTTCATGAGGAATAGGACCGGGGAGTCCCATCTTCTGAAGAGTAAAAAGAGGTGTTTGAAGAGGTAGGAGGAAGCAAGAAGGCAGGAAGGAGCTGGGTGTGGAGCAGCAAAAGGAATCTGGAAAGAACAGGGGCCAGGGCCTCACTGACAGTGCCATACAATCAAAGGCCAACCGGGAGGCTCTGTGGTTGGGTCCTTCATTGGTACACTGGATGTGAAGGAAAATGGAGGACCCAGCGGAGGCCATGTCCCTGTTTCTCTGAAATTAGCTGGAGAATGTCACCTGGGAGAAAAAAGACAAAGAGGAGTGTCCTGACTTGCATGGCCCCGACTGTCCCAGGGAAGCTCTGATGGAGGCCATTGCGGACAGGTGAGATAAGGCACCCAATGATGGTAACTTTGGAGGGATCAGCAGTCCATGGGCACCAACAGAAGAAGCCTGGGTTTTGTAGCTTGGCAAGTTTCGGCTCAGCACCTGACCCCCATTTAGCTATTCTGATGCACTACGAAGAAGACAGCTCTGGCCTGGGATGGCTGTCTCCCTCAGCCCCTCTCAGGCAGGCAATGAAAGCAAGATCCACTTTGAAAATTCTCCCCCATCATGCAAACTGACATGGGCATGCTTTTCAAAAACCCACAGCCAATCTGTTGATCATTACTTATTTACAAAGGCCTTCAGGCAGAAAGTCCTGTAAAAACCATACTTGATATGGTATACACTAGCTTTTTCTGCTTATGGAAAAAAGTCCCCCCAAGGCTACTTCAAACCATCACTTTCTATTGCACATAAAATGTAGCACGTAACACTAAAGTATTTAATATATATGCTATAATATATCTACAGGAAAGGCATTTGTGTAGAAGTATGTTACCCTGGATTTGGTAATTTGATGTTTTGCTGAAGGCTACGACTTAAAAAAGCCTCCACCTCTTACAGGAGACCTGTCATCTTGGTACCCAAGAGCCAACAGAATAAAGAAGTACCCTTAAGCAGCAAAACTTTGACACAGCTTTGAAGCATATGAAAACAGTGTAACTCCTCAGAATTATTATTACTCAAGATCAAAGCAACGAGTCATACTTTACATAGCAAACAGGGACAGGGAATTTGGCTCCCAAGGTTTCATATTTTTCAGATTCCTCTTTATTTATTTATTTGCTTCTCTAAATTTAGGCAAAAGAAAGCACTTGGGCTTTTCTCTCCTTTAAATGGAGAAAACTATTAGCATTAGCTAAGCCGATTACCTGAAGGTGAGTAAACAGGACTTGAATGCTAGGCTGACAACTGGCGTCATAAAACCCAGTGGCTTGGCAGCTGGTGCGTTTCATTCCTTCTCATAGTAAACTGTAAACATGCCTGTAAATCAGCAGAGCCCCAGCAAGGCGGCACAGAGGAGGCTTAGGACACTGAAGGAAGCCCTTCACAGAGCAGAGAGGGGCACACATGACAAGAGAGAGAGAAAGGGCCAGGTGGATCTGCCACTGGGAAGCCATGTCCCCATCACTGAAATACAAGTCCCTATCTAAGTCTCAGAAGGGTGGACAGAGGTGAGGCCAGCACAGTGGAGAAGTGCATATCAGTGAACTAAAGGAGAGGGGTCCTTGTCCATGGAAGAGCAAAGCTACGTCAGGGAGGCAGGGATTTCCAGAAGAGGAACGATTTAGGGTGAGCAGTACAGTTCTGAAATCTCAGGCCCTTTCCTCCCTCTCTTTCTCTCTGTACAACACACGTGAATGCGTGCGCGCACACACAGACACACACGTGTGCATGCACGCACACACACACAGACACACACGTGTGCATGCGCGCACACACACACACACACACACCAGAGAGACAACCTCATTCCTCAGGCACTATCCACCTTTTCTTTTGAGACAGGGTCACTCACTTAGAGTTCTCTGATGTAGAACTAACCAAGTAGCAGGGTGGCTGGCCAGCAAGCCCCAAGAACCCGCCAGTCTCTTTCTCTCCAATTTCAGTATTAGCCATGAGCCTCCGCACATGGCTCCGCCCCAGCACCCGTGGGTTGTGGGTCTCAAACTCAGGTCTTAAGTTTGTAGAGCAAACCCTTTACCCTTCGAATTATCTCCAGGACCTGAAATCATTCCTTCTCATAAAAGTGTGGGAGAGTTACGAGGTTTGAGGAAATAGATGATGGGGCCGGGGGACAATCAAAGAGATAAAGGTGACACAAGAAGAATTTGCCCAAACAGGAACTTGTAGAGTTGTATTGAGACTTTGTTTTAATTTACTATTTATTAGATGTTGTCATAGTTTAGAAGTGGGAGAAAAGAAAGGAAAAGAGAGACAGACTGAGAGAAGAAGGAAGGAAGGAAGGAAGGAAGGAAGGAAGGAAGGAAGGAAGGAAGGAAGG